AGGTATAAGATGATGTCCTATTGCGCAGCGCCCAGACCAGTCTTTAGTAGAGTTCTACGTCACAGTACAGCAAGCTGCAGCAACTCGTGGGTTTGAGTCCGTTAAGGATGTAAGAGAGATGGTAGTCACTATGGTGTTCGTGAGTGGATTGAGGTCAGTGGAGACTAGGCAGAAGTTGTTGGAGAATGAGGAGTTATCAGTGAAAGAAGCGTTAGAGCATGCGGAAGCATTTGAGAAGGTGGTAGAAAACGCGCCCAGTATAGGGCGTAGAAATGAAAGTGTGTTGGGTACAGTGAAAGTAAGTAAGGAACAGAAAAATTTAAGACTAAGCCAGAGGGAGCAGCGAAGGGGTAAATGGGAAAGAGATAAGAGAGATGCGAACTTAGGATTGAGAGGAGGACTCGGATCTTTAGTAAATCGGATAAGCGATTGGGAATAAGAGGCCAAGGAAGGGTTGAGACCAGGCAGTGTAAGTGTTCTGTGTGTGGGAGGGTAGGACATCAACACTTTGAGTGTTGGCATAGGGATGAGCGGTGTAGGAAGTGTTTGGGCTAGATACTGGAGCTTCAATATCATTGATAGATCCTTCCACGTGGGTTAAGTTAGGTAGACCTACATTATGTAGAATACCATATAAAGTGAGGGCATATAATGCGGGACCTATTAAGCTCTTAGGGAAGTGTCAGGTACGGGTTAGGTTAGGAGGTAGATGTGCGGTGGTGGATTTACATGTAACGGAGGAGCCGGGAGAAATTTTGTGTGGGCGAAATTTAATTAACGCATTACAGATTAATTGTGGGTGGTATTATGAGAATGCTAGGAAAATTTAGAATTGAATATTCATGTAAATGACATTTACACTTCGAGACCTGTGGATTGTAATATGGAAACAATTACAACTTGGTTGAATGAACGAAAAGAAAAGATATCAATTGGCTATTTCAGGGATTGTTGGACATGTCGCAATATCATATGGTGATAAAAACCGGGGCGAAGAATAAGTTAGATCCGTCAGCAATATAAGATTATTTGCTGGTGCAGAACATTGTACATAATCGTGCAATAGTTAATGCTGTTTTTGGATCTATGTTCAAAATTCTGTTTGAACGATTTCGAAGATTGTTGAAACCAATTATATTTTGCTTGTTAAAGAAAAGTTTTGATGAAATGAAAGCACATCTGAATAGTTATGCGCCGACCAGCCATATAACCGTTTAGAAATTCATTTTTCTAAATTAGAAAAATCACAAGCACGTATGTGCTACGAATTCGANATGGAAATGTGGCGTAGGTTGGGTACGGATGAATTTCTGAATGGATTATGGCCTATTCGACACTATTAAACGAGTGCAATTGATTTTACCACTGGAGTCAAAGCATATGTTTTGTATCAAAGAAAATCAGGAGATGCAGCAACGGCATTCGGAAATACTCTGGTATCAATGGCATCTATTGCTCGATGTGCTGATATAACAGGTTTCGCTGCTGCATATTTTGTTGGTTATGATTCTTTGTTGTATTTCCCACGTCGTATTTCGGATGTCAATTTGGTAAAAAATCTCTCTGATATATTTAATTTGACAGCAAAATCATTTAACAAGGCTATCGGATATTTTTGTTCAGCATTTATTCTACAAACGGTTGACGGTTTTGTTCCATTATCAGATCCGGTTAAAAGCGTTGAACGTTTGGGACGTGGATTAGTGGAAGTTGATGAAAATGGTTTGAAAAATCGGCACTGTTGTCGATATGCTCCAAAAACGCTCAAAACGAGCAAAAATTTTTCTAAATCCGAAAGACAAGGCTTTCTCATAGCACTTTACTGTCTGCTTCTATTACGAACTTTCAGTGTATCGCTCACTATATTTGTCTGACGGTTGGGAGAGTTTTTTGAATGGAGAGGATGAAGAGACAGAGAGAACGACAAATTGGAGATAGTATAAACACTGTACAATGCAACAGAATTATTAGTGATTACGTATGCTCACTCAGAAAGCATCGTTCAATTGATTCACGAAGATTACAGAAATCCGTCATAGTAAANACATGCACATAACCGAACACCTTATATCGTTATCTTATCTCAAATCTATCCTCCATAATCTTCCATTTATATTTGTTGAATCTATGTTTCAAATTCGCTTACATTCGTTGTGGTTGGTTGTTCAGTCATTGCTACACGAATTATTATCTCACTTTACGAATCATTCCTTTGCTTTACGAATATTTATTCATTTACTTTACAAGTTGTTCGTCTTTGAGTTATTACTCCATTTACAACTATTTGAATTAATATTGTACGCGTAATCGTGTGACATGTACGCGCTATTGTCATTATTGTCGTTATAAATTCAATGGTTTAATTACCCATTTTGAGATCTGGAAAGGCAGACCGAAAGAGAAATCTGAAGCCAAGAATCAATCAAACAGTCAAGTCCTAAATACAATAAGACAAACAAAACCCAATCACTGCCTCCCGATCTCAAACTATTGTATTGTCATTGAACGTACCCGGACGAATTCGCCTTCATCGCATTCTAGCTGATTCAACTCAAGTCAGTT